CTTTGAAAAAACAAGTTTACATCATATTCTTATGCATGCCAGTGCTGTGTGTGACGTAATTTAAGGTGGTTCTGACAAGTGTCGTCGGCATCTTCATATCCGGTCACATGGGCGCAAGCCACTCCCATCCGGTCACATGGGCGGCAAGCCACTCCCACAAAGGAGGCCACACTCACAGAGTAGTTTCAAACACTTTTTGAAACCCACCACTAAGCCCACCCCTGGATGGAGTAAAAAAGAAGACACATTCTTGACTGCTTAAAATTGAGACGAGAATATGTAAAACAAGGTCTAGTGGAATCAAACCTTATTGCTGGGACCATTCTAAGTTCCTAAATATATTGGAGTTGCTTCCTTTTTTCTTGGTGCACTGCAAGGCTCGAAGAGTTCTCATTTGAAATTATACCCACAAGGTTCACGAGTGGAACCAAGGGATGGTTTTTTTTTTTTTAATAATTCAAAAGTTTTATTTCTTTTAAAACAAACATTTCATCATTTCATCGAAGTACAATTTTTTGTGTGTCAAAATAGTTCTAGTTTACCACCAAATCCAAGGGGTGGTTTTGATTACTACCTTGGAGTTGGAGGTAACTAAGGGAATAGAAAGTCAGAGGAAAAAGGGTCAAAGAAAAGTGGAAAAAAACCTCTTTGTGATACTTTCCAACATAATTCAACAACAGGATACATACATAGGAACATAAATGCCCTTACAAACCAGCAGGAGAATTTCCTCAGGGAACTCACTATTAGGAGTACTTCCATGGATGTCCAAGAAGCATATGTGATGAAATGTGTACGAGTCAATTTAGTGTAGTGGTAAAGATACCAGGCTAGAAAATCAGAGATTGTGAGTTCTAGTTCTGTCTTAGGCGTAAAAGACGGCTGGATGTCCTTGGGCCAGTCTTTCTCTCTCAGCCCAGCTCACTTTACAGAGTTGTTTTTTGTGGGGGAAACAGCAGGAAGGACTATTATATATCGTGTTTCCCCGAAAATAAGACAAGGTCTTATTTTCTTTTGACTCCTGAAATAAGCGCTTGGCCTTATTTTCAGGGAGGTCTTATTATTTTTTAGGTGCAGGAGGCGGCATGACTGCTGCTGTATTCCAATATTTTCGAGGGAGGTCTTATTTTAGCGCATGCACTCAAAAGCCCAATTGGGCTTATTATCCGGGGAGGTCTTATTTTCAGGGAAACAGGATACTGTATATTCACTGCAGGTAGTTCTCAACTTACAACCACAATTGAGCCCAAAATTCCCGTTGTTAAGTGAGACATTTGTTAAGTGAGTTTTGCCCCATTTTATGACCTTTCTTGTCACGGTTGTTAAGTGATTCATTGCAGTTAAGTTGGTAACCAAGTTGTTAAGTGAATCTGGCTTCCCCCTTTTGCTTGTCAGAAGGTTACAAAAGTTGATCACACGACATAGCAACGGTCATAAATATGAAGCAGTTGCCAACGCCTGGATTTTGATTCACCTGTTCATGGGGATGCTGCAAAGGTCATAACAGTGAAAAAAAGGTCATAAGTCACTTTTTCCAGTGCTGTTGTAACTTTGAAAGGTCGGTTCCACCACAAATGCGCGAACAACAAAAGCGTGCCTGACTAAACCGCGGTGACTAAAGCGCGGTGACAAAACCGCGCGACGAATGAGCGACAAATTAGCCCTAAAGCGCGCTGACAAAAGCGCGCCGACAGAAGCGCGCTGTAACGTAACCCTAAACCTAACCCTAAACCTAACCCTAAACCTAACCCTAAACCTAACCCTAAACCTAACCCTAACCCTAACCCTAAACCT